TTTTTTATTTTAATTTTTAAAGCGTTTTTTTTTAAAATTTGATTTAATAATAAAGATACAGTTTATGAGAATGCAATTTTGGACTGATTCTGCGTAGAGTCACAACCTGTTGTCCAGCAGATATTCGATACGCAGCTGAAAACTGATTTCAATCCTATGGCAATATCGATCCTATGCAGATTCTTTAAAATTAATAATTTAACCAAAATCTTGATTATGCGTCTTTGGCAATCAAGGCATATAAATAGGAGCGTCGGTATGCTCGCCTTCACTTTGTTATACCGATGTCGAGCCTGTGCAATGTTAATGCTGTGTTTAGCATCGACTTAGTGTAGTGTTGATGGCATGCTTGTCACGATTCTGCGCATTGTGGCCATTGGACATTAATACTTTTGCTAATTACATTATCGAAATTTCTTTTCTGTCATGTCAATGGTATGTCGGTAATTAATGTCAGTTGTATGTCGATGTGGATTCAACGCAGAATCGATCCTGTGCGGTACTGATTCTACGCTACGTCAATCATATGGATGTAACCTTGTTTGCAACTCATCGGTGAATGTGTTTAAATATCATTTTGTAAAAAAATTATAATTGTATTTTGAAATCTCTTTCTTTTTTTAGCCCAAAGGGGCAATTTGCCCAGAAGGCATTTCGCGTTGGTTCAATGTAAACGGCGAATCACTTTTTAAATTCTTACCACAAAATATAGTCCTGTATATATTTCAAGAAATTAAATAATGAAGAATCTGCATGAGTGTATGTATGTTTCTTGCACTGTCTATATATATATATATATATATGCAGCGTGACGAGACTGTGTATCGGCAATTCTAAAGATATGCTCTTTTTAAATATTTTGTGATATTGCTGTTGAATTGAATTTTATAGTTAAGTGCGAAGAACATGATATTTAATAAAAAAAAAGGTAACACACAAAACGTTTAAAAAAAAAACTCTCCTATGGGCGTAATATAAAATCTGCAAGCCTTCAGATTTTTTTATGAATATATGTATATATTTTTTTCTTTCTTCCCTCTCCGCCCCGAAATGAACTGTGTTTCTACAATCTGATGGGAACTTAGAAATAAGTTCCTTACTGAGGGGGGGGGGGATGAGACGTTATGGTATTTTCTGTATAGTAATTTGTTTTATTTTCTTGTCTTTTTTAAGATGATTTTGCGATATATACTATATAGATATATCCCTATACTCTATAGTACATTTCTTTCGTTTTAAATTTTGTCTTCATGAACGCCTTAAAGGCGATTGTAAATTGTGTCTCGAAATTTCAACTCGGAGAGGAATGACTTTTTTGTGCATTCAAGTTAAGTGCAATGCACAGCCTACGGCCTACCTTCCCACATTCAGAAAAGGTGAGCGCATCATAAACCTTTTTAAAATGTCTGAAATATTTCACTTGAGTTTTGTTTCAGTATTTTTTTTTTTTTTTTTTTTTTTTTTTTTTTTTTTTTTAAAGTTATGAAAGTGGTTAGAAGGAAAAAAAATTGGACTCTAATGTCTTCATTATATAGTAAGTAGCAGAATTTAACAATTGCGTGTCTTCATTTCTTCGCGCCCTTTTTAGCCACTTTTTCTGTGGTCTCATCATTGCTTTCAGGGCATCAAGCTCAAGAACTTCATGTCTTCGTTAGAAGAATGAGCGATTTTATTCAACTAACTCCTAATGATCGTTTTCGAAAACGAAATTGCGAAAATTTCTGATCTGTGATGGAATTCATTCTGTACTTTTAAACTGAATAATGGATTTTCAGGATTCAAAACGTTTTTCTCATTGCTAATATGTAAAAAAAGATTATTGTGTGAAATGATTTTACTGCCTTTTTAGAATACATACAGATTTTCGAAAGCTTTGTTTTTTAATCATGTTTGAAAGACCAAAAAATTTGCATGCAATTTTGAACTCAACAAGAAATATTTTGCATAATTTAAAGATAAGAGACCTTTGATTGAATTTCCGAATAACTTAAGTCTTTAGCAAATTTCGAAACAAAGTGCAGTTTTTTCGAGAGAGTGAGGAGATTAGTTTTGTAAAAGACTTCCGCATTTTCTCTTGGAAGAATCTTATTTTTTTTTTTTTTAATGAGTGAATATAAATTTTAATTTAACGGGAATAAAGAAAATTCGTTATTTTAAAGCGCAGCATTTTATTTAAATTTAGGTGTCGGTTGCATGATGGAGATATGAGATATACACCCAATTACCGTATTCTTGCTTGTCTAACTTGCAGTTTTTTTTTTTTTTTTTTAAAGTTGTCAAAGGTGCTATACATGCGAATGCAAAAAATACATTTGTAGCTAACAGAAAATAACAAATGAAATTTCGGAGATCCCGCCCAAAATTTCAAAAAGTATGCTTTTATTCTAATCTATTTTTTTTCATGTTCTGTACCATGTTAGGCATCTTTTCGCTCCTTTTCCGGCTGGTACGTTTGTGTGTGTGTGTATATATATATATATATATACTATTACACTTGTGGCACACCACAGAAGTGATGAACTGTGCGTGGGTACTCGACGGCGTGAGTGTGGATATCCTTTTCAAGGTCAGGCCACCTTTCAGCGCGCGTTAGCTGCAGCGGAGGAGCAGTAGGCCGCGTGACTATTCACATTGCTCCAATGTCCTAAACGCCTTGTTTGCACTGCTCTAATTAACTTCGTTTAATTCATGGTTTCGCGGAGAATATTATCTCTGTCTCAGTGTTGTTGCTTCCAAGATCTTTGATCCATTTGTTGATGTACAGCTCCAAACCTTTCTTTGGTACAGCTAGGACTGCATTTACAACGAAGACTTGCTTTCCCTCCCGTTGTGTGGGCCGCAAGAGGGAGGAGGGGGGAAGTAAAAAAAATTCTATTCATTGAACTGCGAGCAAGATGTCAACCTACTTGTTTGAAGAAGAATCTAAGTCACGTGCACTTCAGAACTGCCAACGCATGGTACTAAAATTTCTCAGCTTTCGCTTTTAACATTTCCTTTTCACTTGTTTTCTTCTGATAAATTTGTCTTTTTTTAAAAATTCAGTTCAGGTTTTAAATAGCTCGAAAACGCCAATTTGTTATCTTATTTTCTTTTCCTGAATTGACTTTTGTTGAGGAGGTGATTTATCTGTCAGCGAACTATCTTATTATTATGGAAACGCTAAAGTAAATAAATAAACCAATATCTTGCTTTTATAAGGTGAATGTGACTTATTTTTTAAATTTCACCTGAAATTATTGCTGCCGAAATTTTTGTTTGTTATATTAACGATGGCAGTATTGAAACTTGAAAGCTGTACACATACAGCATTTTTAGACGTCATGAGTAAAATATGTCCATTTTCAAACTTTACTGGTAAACACAATTTCTTTTTACTTGTTTCGTGTTGTTTATTGAAATTTAGATTAAAATTTTATTGGTAAAGTAATGAAATTTTATTTGTGCCTTGAAAGCGTAATTGGAAACTGATTTGTAATGGCAGGGTGGTCAGATATTAATGCTTCTCTGAGCTTCTTTTAAGTATGCAATTATCAATCAGAAATTTTTACCTACATTTTAAAACCCTTTAGAATTATATCTCCAAAAATCAGAAGCACTTGCCAAAGTTGCTTCATTGATATCTATGTAACATATAAATAGATATTAAATAAGTTGCCCCTAAAGTGCGAGTCACGGCTTAGCGGGAACAAAGGTTTGTATGAGTTGCGTAAAGTTTTGCCGATGTTGTCTGTGAGTCGCAAAAAATTTTAAAGATTTGATTGAATTCAGATGTATATCCTCTGTTATTCCCATAAAGGGATGCTGAGCTCCAAACTTCATGAGTCTTCAGCGACTTTACTTTCGCTGAGCCGAACATACGGCACTCCGCGCGCTGTTCGTGACTAAATAGTCAGGGTTCATGCACCATTCTGGACTTTAAATGGATCAAAATATGGACATTACCATGTATCTTTTTCTAGCGAAAGATGGCTTGTCTGTGGAAGTGGAAAGTGCCATACATTGCCACACTGCTTAACGCGCGCCACTGCATTCTGAGATGAAAGGTTTCTGTGTTTTTTCATTATTTTTATTATTATTTAAACTTGCGAGTGTTTGCAGTCGTTCTGATTCACGTATGTCGGTGATTAAACTGAAAGTTATTTGAAACATTTTAAACTCTCTCTTTTTTTTTATTTATTTATTATTATTTATTATTATTATTATTATTATTATTATTGTCTCCTATTGTGGGAAAATATTTCATGTTGTCCGTACTTTTTATGTATAAATGATATTGAAGTTTTAAGATGCATTCAAATGTCTCTAACTAATCTGAATGAAGTTCCGAGTCGTAATTAATTATTTTTTTAAATTTGACTTGTAAGTAGCTTGAGAAAAAATTATATATCTGCAGTCTTAAATCATGAGTATTATTAAGCTAAACAAATATTAAGTAGAAACTTATTAAAATTTTTTAGAAAACTTAAGTATTGAATTACTTTTAATAAAATAAAGATTGTAAAGTAAAATAGAATATGAAGTGTTTTATAAATAATAACTAATAAAATTCATCTTATAAGCATGATCGAAAACATTAAGTGTATGAAATCGCTTCTAAATACATAAATATTCAACTCTAAATCGTAATTATTTAAAAAGAAAAAAAATGAACATGCGATTAAACTGGAAGATTTATTTTTACAACTTTCAGCTATAATTAATGAAGAATTTTTAAATATACCTAATGAGAAACTAAGAAATTTTTCAACGAAAGTAAGGGTAATTTTGTATGAATACTGAAAAATTTGCAACTAAGCAATTTTTTTAGGCTTTGAATTACCCTCTCGTAAATGACTGCCGTGACTAATTCTACTGTGTTATTTATGTTTATGCCATATTATGTATTCATAAATTTAAAAATATACTTTTTAAGTACCAGCTGATGAAAACTTATTTTTCATGTATATTTCATTACAAATTGTTAGTTCTGTATATAGTGTAATTAGCTGTTTTTGTTGCAGATATGCATACATATAGTCAACATTTGCTTGAAGGATTAAATACGTAGCCTGCTGATGGCACCTCCAAATGTTAAGATCAAACATATAACCAGGTATTTATTCATTTTTCAGCAGAGTCGTAGCTAGGGTTTTCAGCACCCGGGGACAACTAAAGATTTCACTGACCCTCTCCTGTTTGCCATGAATGGAAAACATTTCCTTCTAAAATTTCTTAACATAAATTTAGCGCCTCCTGGATGCTGCGTCCGGGGACAGATGTAACCCTTGCTCCCCCCAGCTACGCCTCTGTTTTTCAGGCATTTTCTTATTTTTTTACTAAACGAGCAGGCATCGAATTCTGAATTAAAAGCAATTGTAGTTTCTACTTGTATGTGCTGCCATCTATTGATGAATTGACTCTTTAAACCTTAATACCAGATGCTGAGATTTTTACCATTTTTTTTATTAATTTCGTTACTTTTTTTTTTTCCCCCCTTCATGTAACTGCGTGTTAATTTCTTGCTAAATGTTTTTGTGTGTTTGTGTTTGAGAAAGTTCCATTGAAAATTAAAAAACTCTTGTGTTATTTCGTTTTTATAGGAGTCCATCAAGCTCTGGGGACACCAGATTTCCTAAATTAGATGAATGCGCACATTTCCATTATGAAAATGTTGAACTTGGACCAATTAAAGTGAGTTTTCTGTTATAAATAATTTATATTGCACAGAAAATATACTTTATTGTGTGTATATTGATGTAATAGACATTCAACACTCAACTTATACTAAATGTTTACCATGCTCTAAATATTATAAATACTTGTTTGAAGTTAGTAATTTTTTCATTGGGTGTATCAAGTTTGTTGACTTGAGTACAGTTGTTAAAATTTTAGCTCCCTCTGAAAGCAGTCTTTACCTTTTTTTGGAGGGAGGGGGGGTCTGTATGAAGGAAGGTCTGACCATTACTGTACTTTATTCTGTGTCTTTTTTTGCCATTTATGAAACTGGGCAAAGTTTCTCTGCATTACATACATGAACATGTAAGATCCCCCTCTCATAACTTCCTTCACAATTTAGTTCCCCTTTTTTAAATTGCATTTCAAATTAATGACAGTATTATAAAAAAGAATTTTGGTTGTTAACAGGAGATTTAAAATTTAAAGATTAGGTTTAAAATTTTAAATCTACGTAAATGCTATTGATGTTAAATTTTTATTTTGTTATATGTATATACAAATTTAATTTTCTTTGCTGCCACCAACTATTGTATAGCAATGTTTGTAATTTTTATGTAAAATGTGTAAATATGTGTTGAATGCTTATAAAAATAAATAAGTGAATACAGCTTGTGGATTTTTACATTCAGTACATATTTTATATAATGTGCAGTCACTGATGGAAATTATTAGTTTTTTATAATTGTTATTGTGTGAATAAAATAAAACATTCTGTGTGTTATCTCACTCTTTTTATTTTTTATGCTGTGAACACCAAATGCTGTCATATTTGGCCGTCAAGTTTTCTAGTGGCAGGTTCTGAAAATTTTAAATTTTCGGTATTCGTAAAGTTTTTCTCTTTTCCAGTGCATTCTGGAAATAAGCTTCCCTAAATTTTAAAATGAATTAACATATGTAGTGATTGTTTTTATCTTACTAACAAGACAAATGCTTGTAAACTAACTGTAAAAGTTATGCCGAACATTTCTCTTCTAACCGTTGTACTTTAAGTCAGCCTAATACAAGAATGGTTCATTTACAGCGAAACAAGCATGAACTGACATTATGTCTGCGATTTTGCCGAGTCATTTGCACATTCACCTTCTGTAATTATTCATGAATGATCTGAGGCTTAAGGAATAGCATAACCAACAACAATAAAAATGGACAAGATTTAAGTTTGCAAAGAATTAGAAAGGAAGATATCTTAGTAGTAATTATTGTAATGTTAAATATTACTATGTATTTTCATTGGACTGTAGGTTTCTTATAAAGGAATAATATTGTGATAGTTATGTGTAGTTTTTCCATGATTGCATTTCATTTTTTATATTCTTACAGTAAATGCATTCTTTACAAATTAAATTTTTCATATAATTTTCTTCTCTTTATTTTCAGACAGTAAAATTAGTAAAACATAAAGGGATAAAATATGCAAGGAAATGCTGTATATTTATAATGATATTTATTACCAAATTAGCAAAACATGAAATTTAAAAAAGAAAAACAATGTGGGACTTTGTGCACATGCAGGATTTACTTCTAAATCAAACAAAACTTTCCATCTATTATTTAGTCACATAAAATAAGTATTTAAAAAACTGTGTAAATAAATTTTTAATAGCATCAAATGTAATTAGTGGTTTTCAAGTTTACACAAAAAGTGCACATTTAATTTTATAGCTTGTAATGATTTATGAAAATGTCAGCCATTTATTGACTTTTATATGTGCATACATGTACAGTGAAGAACCAAAACATTATGACCACCTACTCAATAACACATTGTGCGACCTTGGCCTGCAAAACAGCCGCAACTCGCCCTGTCATGGATGTCACAAGTTGTTGGTAGACAGCAGGAGACAGGTTGTTCCAAATGCCTAAACAGCAGTCACGCAAAGACATATTCTGACGTTGTGGTGTTTGAGCTCTGAGCTGCCACTTTATGAAATTTTAAATGTTTTGCGTCGGATTAAGATTTGGTGACTTAGGTGGCCAGGACATTAACTGGAATTCATCGTTATGCTCCTCAAGCCACTCCAATACAGTTCGAACCTTGCTACGTGGGGCATTGTCCTGCAGCAAGATTTCATTTCCAGTTGGGAAGACAGATGCCATGTAAGAGTGCAACTGATCCATACTTCAGATAGTTCACAGTTTTCATGGTCACTTCTACCACAACTAAGGGTCTCAGAGCAGACCATGAGAATGCTCCCCAAAACATAATATTGCCACCTCTAGCCTGTGTATAATCTCTGTACAAGGCGGAGGGGGCAATTGTTCACCTGGAAGATTTCTTACCCTAACAGGACCATTGGCATGATGAATGAGAAATTGTGATTCATCTGACCAGACAACAGTCTTCCATTTCTCCATGGTCCAGTCTCCATGTTCCCGGCCCCACTGTAGGTGTAGTTGACAAAGATGCTTGGTTCAACAGAGGCACACGAGTGGGATGTCTGCTGCACAGTCCCATATCCAACAGCGTCCGTTGAACTGTGGGTTCTGAAGCACTTGCACTTGGAACTGCATTGTATTGGGCTGTCAGCTGAGCCACTGTCTATCAAATCCACTCGACCTTTCCCATAACTCACAAAAGTAAGTGAAAGAATGCCTAACCTTCTCCAGCAGAAGTTAAATACAATTCCCATCTAATCACATGCCTTCCACATCATCCAGACAAGTTCATTGAAAAATATGGGGATGGTCATAATGTTTGGGCTGGCCAGTGTGTATATTGTATTTTTAGTAGGTAATTTGCTAATCATCTTTTTACTTTTTAATCGTTTAATTCTTTATAGCTACTTTTGTTCATTTATTACTGTCATTATCTTTTTAAGGTTCTTTTATGTGATAAACAAATAGATTCCAGCAAGTCCTCTGTAGTATGCAGTTCCTCAGCCAATAAAGAAAATGAAAATGATCATTTATGTTTCCTCGTTACCGTAATTAGCAACAGCAGAAAATGGATGGTCAGACGAAGCTACAAAAATTTTATGTTCTTAGACACTCAACTGCATCGCTGTGTTTATGACAGAAAATATAGTTTGCTTCGGGAGTTGCCTAATTTTTCTCAAGAAGACTCTGAAAGGGAAGATTTTGAGGTAAGGGTTATTTATCATATGGCATAATCGTGAAAAACATAACATTTATGGAATTTTCCAATTGTTGAGCATTTTCTTTTTTGTATTTTAAAATTGTATGGTTTCCAGTGATTGAAATGTCTTCGAAAGAAAATATTAAGTACCTTCATAATCTAATTATTTAGGTGCTTGCTTTATGATTATAAATGTTCAGTATGAATTTGAGAAAAGCAGTTTTTTGAGGATAAAGAAAATATAAAAAGAAAAGTTTTTACTTGGCAAGTGGATGAAAATTTTTCATTTTAAAATTCAGGAATAATACTAAAATATCTTTATGATCATTTTGAGATTAAAGAAAACAATGGTTCCGTAAGTTGCAGCTGTAAATTATTGGTTTAAGAAACAAATAAAATTATGGACAATAATATTTTCATAAGATAGCAAGGGGCAGTTTGTAATTAATATCATTCTCAATGCCCATCAACATGTATAAAATGGATAGTTAAAAAAATAGATATATATATATATATATATATTATTACTATATTAGGTGCAGCAGCGATTATCTCATTCTTCATCTGGGAATAAAATATAAAGATTTATGAGCATAAATTTATATTTTAATTAAAATATCAGGAGGCAATTCAATGAGTGCTAATTCTAGTGTATACCTATTCTAGTGCATAACTCACAACTACAGCATTTGCAACCCTGCATTCCTATGTGATTTTGAGTTGTATCTGTACCCCCCCTACACACCCTGCAAGTTTGTCAGTTTGGTAAGAATCACCCTGTATGTATCATGTTTTATGGGAAAGTACTGTATTCTAAAGGCTGTTTCATCATTTTTAACAAAAAAAAAAAAAAAAAAAAAAAAAAAAAAAAAAAAAACCCACCACATTCAGTTTTATTAGACAATCATAAATTATTGTTCATAATTTGTGATCATATCTCAGTATCATGATTGTCAGGATAATCATGGAATTGGACAGTTTGAATCGTTTGATAAATATTGATATCCGCAGTATTTAGAAAATTATAAAAATTGTTGGCAATTGAATGCAGAGAATAAAGAGAAGATTTCTGAATCAGATAGATGGGGTATAGTATTTTTCTAAAATGAGTGAATAGACGTTAAAGATGTTTGAGAACTTTTTGCAATATTGAGTTAATTGGGTGAATATATTATAGTTTATTCACTTCATAAATATGGAAAATATACTATATGTTGAAAGGATACTTTCTGTTAGGAACAAGATGTGGTCAAAGGAAAAATATAGGTTTAACAATAAGACAATGGAAATTAAGCAAAATTATTATGAAAACTGTTTCATAGACTAATTGAACTTAATGATAAAGTATGGAAAGACCAAAATGCTGAATAAGGTAGTATCGCTGGAGACATTTTCATAATACAATTGTAGTAATATGTAATTCAGCTTTAAAGCAAATGTTTGTATGGATTGTTCTGTTGAATAATGGTAAACTTAACATGTTTATTTCATAAAAGATTTCCTGTATCTTTCTTTTTTTTTCTTTTCTTTTTTCCCCTCTTTTCTTTTTCTTTTTCTTTCTTTCTTTTTTTTTTTTTTTTGGTCAACTCTCATTCCAGTGTCTTGTTTTTGCATTGTGAAAATATTTTCATCTTATGATCAGCCTATATTATATTATGCATTTGTATTTGAACTTGAAATATGACTTTGTGTATTATGATGCTGTTTAATCCTCCAAATAAATTTATTCAATTTTATTTGATAGTTTCTAAAAATATCAGTATTTTTTCCTGCAACAAAATGTTCATATGAATGAAATTTATTTTGAATGTGTACTTAGTTACATCAATTGATTGTTAATAAATAGGTCTTGTCAGATTGCCTGTGCAGAAGACATTTTTGTTAAAGTATTAATTATATCCTGAAATAGAAATGCTGTGTATCTATTAATGTTTAAATTGAAATGTAAACTTCTACTGTTAGAAAGGAATTCTATTTATTTTTTGTTCAAATGCATGCAGTTATTTCCCCTGCGGGTGATATTCCATTATTTTGAATAAAGAATAAAATACTAATGAAATAAGTAATTTTGTTTAATGGCAGGTATGATAAAAAAAAAGGTTTTTGTAATACATTAATATCATTAGAAATTTAATTTAAAGTTATAGGATTTATATTGTTTGAGAGAAAATTAATTATTTCTTGATCTTTTACAGGAACAAATTAGGACTTTGCTGTCAGAATATTTAGAGCGCTTTTCGCAGCTTGCTGGCAGTTTAATAAATTGCGGTCCAGTTTTAAATTGGTTTGAGGTAATCATTATTTGTTTTTGTAAGAAGATAGATCTTATTTCTCTGTATTTACTTTTCAGTTTATTAGAAATGTTATTGATATTTGTAATAAATGTTGCACATTTTTAAAGGCAATCTTGTTTCCTCCTTGAAGAAAATAAATTTAAATCTGCAGATTTAATTTTCCTTATTAAAATTTATATTATTATCAAATAAAAAAAAGTGTTCCTTGATAATTAAATTTTAGATAGCATGTTATTTCTGAATTATATTTGCAATTATTTAATATAATCCAAATATTAAAATCTGATGTGTAATAAAAAAGTGGCTCATATTGTAAAACATTTATTCATAATAAAGCTTTAAATATTTCTAAATCTGTAAATATTAGAAGTATTTTGATCCCTCTATCAATAGAAGCTTTGTTAGTTACTTTCAGCCATGATAGTAAAAAAACCCTTAATATTTAATTTTTTCAAAATCTGGAGGTACAAACTCTTGGTCATGTTCTTATAGTGAAATTATGCATGTAAAGTTTGATCTGCTATCACATGGGCAAACATCTGGGCAAGGAAGGTTACTCAAAGAAGAATTGAGAGATACTAAGACAGGATCAGAAATGTTATCACTATATGCAAGTGGGCTTCTCTGCACACTTGCACATAATGATGGCATTTCTGAATCATAAGAAATGAAAGAACAGTGCATAAGGGAAGGATATTATTTTATTCATCAAAATGTAACAAATGCAGTGTTAGGAGAGACACACAGAAGGTGTTCGAAGTTTTGGCCAGCAGCTACAACGCAAGTCAGACGTTACCACCACATGGAATCATAGACAATTTGAAATATTCTTATTGTCTCTCAGACAGCAGTTGCAGCTACATAGATACACATGTCAAGATCCCATTCACTGTCCATATAAGTATCATACATCAGCCCATTCAAGAGAGCCCCTGAAAAAAAAAAAAAAAAAAAAAAAAAAAAAATAAGGAAGGATAGGCCTGGTGATCATGTGAGACAGTGAATGGGACAATCACACCCAAATTCACTCTTGTACAGATGTTACATTTTAATGCTCCCCATTAACATGACTGAAATGGGTTATGATTCCCATATTGGAAACACACACCATGCCACAGCAACTGCAGAATTTGTTGGCCATTCAACAGATCATGCAAGACTTCATCCAGAAACTACGTAGCGTATTCGGAAACTAAGTACCGTTTCATTCTAGCGCCGTCGCAGCACTGTGGTAGGCATCCCGCGCATGTGCACTAGTCTTTCTTGTTCACTGACTTTCAATTGTCGCCATTTTGGTTGCTCTATCTTGTGTTTTCAGTTTGCTGTGCACATTCAAAATGTTTAAGACAATTAGTTCTCCCGCTGACTGTGAGATTCGTGCCGTGATTAAATTTTTGAACGCGAGGAATGTTAATCTGGCCGAAATTTATCGTCAAGTGACAGAAGTTTACGGTGAATACTCGATAAGTGATGGAATGGTGAGAAAGTGGGTAAGAATGTTTAATGCAGGTCGAACAAAAGTCCACGCCGAGGCTCGGAGTGGTCGGCCTTCTGTTGTCACCGATGATTTGGTAAGGAAAGTTGATGAAGCAATTCATGAGAACAGACGCTTCACAATGACAACTCTTTCAGAGGCATTTCCACAAATTTCACGTACTGTTTTGTTCGAAATTGTGTCTGACCACTTGAATTATTGCAAACTGTGTTCCCGATGGGTTCCAAAAATGCTCACTGATGTTCACAAAACAAAGCGACTTTTTCACGCGGTACAGTGAAGAGGGAGAAAACTTTTTAAACCAAATTGTGACAGGTGATGAAACTTGTGTGTGTCATTTCACACCAGAATCGAAACAACAATCGATGGAGAGGAGACACACTCATTCTCCAAAAAAACAAAAGTTCAAAGTGACAATGTCATCACAAGAAATCATGTGCACTGTCTTCTGGGATAGGAAAGGCGTTTTGCTTACTGAATTTCTTCCCAGAGGTGAAACCATTAATGCGGCATGATATTGTGAGACTTTAACAAAACTAAGGCGTGCCATTCAAAACAAATGAAGAGAAATGCTCAGTAAAGGAATTGTGTTGCTCCATGACAATGCTCGGCCCCATACTGCTGGTGTCACTTAATCGTTAATTCGACAGTTTCATTGGGAGCAGTTCGATCACCCGCCGTGCAGCTCGGACATGGCGCCGTCCAACTATCACTTGTTCCTGCACATGAAGCGCAAGCTTGGTGGCAAGCGCTTTGGATCTGACAATGACACGAAAAATGCTGTGGAGTCGTGGTTATCAAAACTGGTGGGAAGTTTCTTTGACGATGGTATACAAAAGCTGGTCACCCGCTATGACAAGTGTTTGATCATTGGTGGAAACCATGTTGAAACATAGTTTAAGACATGTATTTTCATGTAAAAATAAAATTGGATTTGAAAAAATTGTTTTACTATTTTTTTTTTTTTTTTTTCAAAACGGTACTTAGTTTCCGAATACGCCTCGTATATTATAAAAATTTCCTTTCAAACTAGCAGGTACAAGATATGGGTCTGTTTAGCAGTTTGCCTCAATAATGAGAGGGAGGGAGAGTACATAATAGCAAACTGGTATTATGGTTTACAAGCTTCTTTACTGCTCATACATGCAAGTGATGTGTATTGCAGAGATATTCCCTGGTAAAATATGCCTCATCTGAAAATAGACTGAAGCAAAAAAAAAAAAAAAAAAAAAAAAAAAGATTCTGCTGCACTCTTCTGCAGATGCCTTTGAGCAAAAGCATCTCATTTTAGGTATTCGTCAGGCTGCACCAGAAAACGTTCTCAATAAAGTTAGAAAAAAACATAAAGCAGCACCTTTAGTGTGGATAGTAATCACCACTCATATCTATGATTTTCTGTCAATGTTTTGGTAGTTTTTCAAAGCCTTCTGGCCATACCGTGCCACCATCAACTTCATATGCTGGATGCTTATTTTCTAATGCCACATATGTGAAAACTCCCTGTATGTGAAATCTCTGCAGGCACTTGTTAAATGACAGTTTTTCTATGCAGACATTTTACCAGTTCTCAAACAACTCCATCTAATATGCTGTGATTGCATTTCCAACCCTTCATTAGTATCTGATCCCAATTTGATTTTGAGTAATGTACCACTTCTGTCAGTTTGTACATGTGACAATCAATCTCTGTCTCTCTTTATAGATATATATGTGTGTGTGTATATATATATATATATGTACCCACACAACATGCACATACACATCTGAAGCATTATCAAGATACTGCCCATTAATGACTGAGAGGTAAAATTGCTGACCACTGGTAGTTTGCCTTATGTTCAATTCAAATTTGAAATAAATAAATTGGTTACATGAGAGTTTTCATAGATTTCCTCATGTGTAAAATAAATACGAGTGATTTTTCTCTTAGCAAGCCCTCTGCAAAAGTCTTCTTTCCGTTAGGCAGATGAAGCTCATATGCTTTGTTTCACTTCAAATAATCCAATCTGGTTAACAAGAAATTGAGAAAATTTTTATAAAATTTTAATAGCTAGTATCTAAAATTATTAATTCTTATTTAATAAAATTTAGATGGGAAAAGGAGTATATAAAGCTGACTGAAGTAGTATCAAAATATTGAATTCTAGAATGTGAAAATTATTTAGAACCTCAAATTTCTTTGTCAGTTGCTATGTCTGTTATCAGATTGTATTATGATTTTCATTTTATCATTTCTTTAATATATATGTAAATTCTAACTATTGTGTTAATTATTGTTCAATAATTTCAGCTTGACAACCGGGGAAACCGATTGATTGTTACAGATGAGGTTGCTATCAATACGCCAGCTGTTGCAGCTGCATATGTTGTTGTGCCTTATTCAGCCCAAGCAACTGATGAAATTTCATTTGATGTAAGTCTTTTAGAATTGAAACTGTAATTTTTGAAGTTTACTGTACATGTGAAGCAGAATGATTTTATTATTTTGAGAATTCTTAATATTCTTGTTTTTAAGATTTCTAATTTATATTTTTTAAGCCTTTTTTATTTTAAACTCTTGCTCCTGTTTCATGAAGTTTTATGCAGAATTCATTTGGAGAAGATGGATTTTAGTTAATTACATCTGAGTAACTGTATCTGTGTGCAGATGTTGGTGGCAAATGTTGGAAAAACTTTAAAGTTTAATTGAAGCTCATTATTAAGATTTTTGTAGCAATTTCTGATATTATTATTTCTTACAGTAGTACTACAATGATTTCACACTGTGTTTAGCCCATAAGGGATGTTAGTTCTGAATGTGAAATTAATCTCAAAATGGCATTTTGCATCAAAATACTTAAATGCATTGCACTTTTCAAATTGTTGCTATCAAATATTATCGCTCTGTATTATATTTAAAGAATTTCTGTCAGTTTGGTGGCTAGTCGTTTAAAAGTAGGCAGAATTTAATTTAGAATGTTATCGATTTTACAGGATTAGTGTAAAAGTGAGTTTTGTGTGATTTTTTGCTTTAGTTTAGCGTGCTCTTTACCGTATTTGCTTATGAATGGTAGTTAATAAAAAAAATAATAAATACATTAATATTGCAAGTCATTTTAATAATATGAAATACTGAAATGTAATAAAATTGAGAATGTCATTTTGAAGTTTTGGTATTTCTGCTATGGCAAGAAAAACACTAATGATATAGTTATGAGAGCACAAAAATTTGATTTGCTGTATCTAATGAAATAAGGTGGCACATGGATCATTTCCCAAAATTGTTTAAAATTTTATTATTAAATCAGGTAAAAAGACTGATTGGCATTGTCCTACTTCCAAGAAGAAGTGAATAAAGTACTAATAAAAAATCATATTAAGGATGAGCTATAATTATTACAAATGCAGTTAATAAATTTCTGTTCATTGTTTTTCAGTTTCACCATATGTTAGTAATTTTACATGGTAAATTACTTAAAAATTTAGGTACTCAATAATTACTCAACCTTCCAGTTACTTATTAGCATCTGAAATAGACATTTGTAATAATTTTGTCCTTAAATTAAAAAAAAAAAAAAAAAAAAAAAAAAAAAAAAAAAAAAAAAACTAAAATACAGAGGTGCTAATAACTAAAAATATTGACAAATTTACCTCTACATTTTTCATAATTTTTTAGTGCAAAGATAATCTGTAATTTTATGGTGGCATGCTGCAGATTGTAAGAAAGCTTAATCTATATTTTTGTCTAAAAACTGAAAATACAGTATAATTATCAGTTCTACAGGTTGTGCAATTAAAAAATTATTAATGACATCCATCACAATTGCAGTTAGGCATCTTAGCAAAGCAGATGCTTTCAATGCTCTCAATGTGTTGCATTTATTCATCTTTGAGATCAGTATTTCTCATTTTAATATCTGTCGCATTATATCTCAGAATTTTGCATATAACTATATCATTATCTCATTTTTGAAAAGCTCCATGAAACATTCAAAAAAATGTTAAAATGCCATTTCTTTTCTAGCCAAGATAAGCAAATCATTATTTTCATTATCTTCGTCTTCAACACTCTTTGCTAGACAGTATACCAAAAATAGTTTCCAAATTTTGTACTAATTGCAGAGACTTTTCTGCTCCTAACGTTTCATAAAAAAATCAAATGGTATTATCAATTTGATTGTTGTACTTCTAAAAATATCCAAGACCTGCTTTTTGTAATCTACATCTGCTTCTGAAAAGGCTGATGCCATACTTTGTGCAAGTGGTGTGACCATGCAAAGGACAGCAGAATTTCTAAAATAATTTAGGGAGGTACTGGGTAGCAATTTAGGAGTTGGAGAGATTGCACCAGAAGGGGGAATGCAAAATGCCTCTTGCCTGCTGTGGCTTCTGATCGCATCATCATTCATAGGTTCATGATCAAAGTTCCATTTTGTGGGTGAGGTGAGAAAACAGTCTTAATTCCATTCTAATTTTTTATATCTGTGTATATAATACAGCTCTCATTTCAGAAGACTTTTGCTTCTGAGCAGAAAGTTTTGAATCCTATTTTCATACTTCTTCAAACAATTCTAGTGTCAACCAAACTTAATAATTAGCTTCATAGGAAACAGGAAGAATTTTCACGAATTTTAAACATCTTGGCTTTTGAAATTTTCCAGTCACCAAAATCCTATGACACTTGATGCTGTATTGGCATCCACAAGAACTGTGATTCATGCTTTTGTCAGTTTTCTGCCACTACCTCACTGGTTCTTAGATTTTAAAATTTTGGTAACTTCTCAACTTGCCATCATGCTATAGAGCCGCCTAACTTCATTGGTGTTGAAAGTGCTTTGTTTGTAGAGGTGAGAGACTTCCCCTCTGTTTCTTGATATCTAATTTAAAAATGCTCTGTAATTCTTTAACAATTTATCCTGAAATAATACTCTTCTACTTCTCGAATATATCCAATCAGCCATTTGAGTAAAAAAATTTTAGTATCTTTAGAATATTTGGCTAATTCATTGACTTCTATCTGAAACATTTGTCTAGATATTGGCATATTGTGGCTTCTTTGAATGGTGAACCATTTCTTTAATGTTTCTTCAACATCCATACACTCAGCCTTTTAAATTTTTTTCCTCGTGTACAGAATTTTTGCTGTGAGTATGTAAGAGTTTCCTTATCTTGCATAACAAAGTTATTATAAGTTGATACCTTTATCTGAACTTCTCAACTTGCCCTCACATTCTCTCGCCAGGATGTAAATTTAAAGTTAAGTGAAGCACATGTTTAAATGGGTGAATCTCTGAGTTTACTCAGAGCATGTTTTCGCTAGCCAGCGCACGTTACATTGTTGTCTCACTGTTACACTAGTAAGCCTCTTAGCCATATTGGAGTTATCATCATGCCTGTTAGATTTTTGTGAGTCCACCTGTTAGGTGTAACTTAAGTGCTATCTAGTGCTACTCATTTTAATTTTGACTTGAATTATATTCTACGTTTTTAGTTTGACGGTACCTTTGTAATGCACAAAGACAGTGCCTTTTCTGTTAACTATTTTGAATTAATACAGGGTTATTTTCATTCTTCTTCTTTGTAGTAGTTTTCAGATCTGTGCGAATATCTAATTTAGTTTACGTGGAACGAGAGAATGACCCTACAAGTAGAAATTATAAAGTCTCGATTTTACCACATGGTGCCAGTTATAGATTTGGATAAGCTGTATTCCAAGTAGATATTTATTGAACTACATTCCCTCTGTATTTTTTAAAAAATAATCACCATATCTTCAATGCAGAATGTTTAATACTTGGTAAACAGATTAGTTTTTTAATTCAGAACATTTTCCCAGTAGAAAGTGAAGAGAGTTAGGTAAAAAAAAGTGCGGAAAGTTTAGTTCTTTTTAGAAAATATGAAAATTGAAGATAATTTCATCTCTAATCTGTTATATCGCATGAGAACACATTCATTTTCCCCACAATATATATGAGGGCAAAGCAAAGGTACAAATAGCTCTTACAAAGAACATTCTAAATCTTAGAAATCCAACTCTCCACCCTATTCAGAAGACAGAAATGATAAAATGCTTTAAAAACTGAAACAGAACAAATAAGTAAAGATAAAAAATCTTCATTTCCTAAACTTACGTGTACAGTCTTAACCTCATAACAATATATTCAATACTTTCTGTTTCTGTGATTAGTAAAAATTTCCATTCTAATCTGTCTGATGGCTCATTCAAAGAACTTGAATGGAATCAAAAGAATTTATTCAAGCTTTTTAATGTAATGATTATGGACATTGTATATTGCATAAGATATGTTCTGTTTCTCTAAGAGCTAGGTATTATAGATGCCACAGATACACATTGCTTAGAACATAGAGAAAGTTAGGAAGAAAGATAAAAAAGAACATTAATGTAAGTGTGTTTAGCTATTTAAAAGTGGATGATTTTAGCTATTTAAAAGTGATGTATTTGTAATTGTTCAGTTAAAGTTTGAAAAGTTGTGGAAAAAGTCATGGGAAAAAAATTGTTTCCATTGAAGGTATATAAAAGGTTGTTTAATGAAATGGATTAGATGTTTGGAAGTTTGCTCCAGCAATACCAAATAACATTAAATATATAGGAAATTGGATAAGTCTAAAAAGTTTTCTTGTTGTAGCGATGTTGGCAATTTTTTCCCCTCTTTCAATTCCAAGAAATTGCTTGAAAGCATTAATGTAATAGTGTAGCGGCAATAAGATAAAGAAGGTATCTTTCAGTTTGTTACAGAAAATCTGCTAAATGTTTGAAAGCATAATAGTAAAAAATTGTAAAATGTAAGCAGCACAATTTCGTCTTGTTCCAAATAAAAGCAAAATTCATAAATTAAATAAAATTTCCTTCTAATGAAATGCTTTTAAAGCAGTTCTTCATTATCTTAATAAATGTTTTAATCAAAACATTCAGTTCTATTAATGACAAAAATAGTTATGGATGACTTTTGAACTTTATTGTATATTTAATGTATTGACAGAAAGGACAATATATTGATTATCAGTTGCAGTAATTTGCTTTCAAATTAAAATCATATGTTCAAATTGAATATGACAGAACATCAATCAGTCGAATTCGAACATTAATAGAATTTTGATATTATTCTATATGTGGTAATTCAGAATCATTATGAAGAAGGGATTAACGTATCTTTGCGTCTTATCAGTTTTATTGGATTAAAGGTTTATGTACATCTCGAGAAGAAAAGAATGGAGAAACAAATTAATAAAATCAATATTACAGTGACTGGGGAAAATGTCTTCCAAATTGAATCCTCTGACCCAGTCATATTGGATTATAAAAATTAATGTACATCTTGAGGAAAAGGGATTGGGAAGCAAATTATAAAATCAGTATTACAGTGACTGGGATAAATGGCTTTTCAAATTGAATCCTTCATCACATTGAAGTAC